TAGTCCTTCCTGGGAATGATGAACGGAATACTGCATTGAATTTAGAATATTGCTCATATTGTACATGAAAGTTCAATAAGCATTTTTTTAATTAGAATGACAAAAAATTGTCAACATGAATCACAGATCTACTGTCCACTAAGTATGTACGAGATTGAAGCCTAGCCCATATCCATTTTTTAAAAGAAGACTTCAGTTACTTAAAATATAGATTTTGTCAGTTAATTTTCAGAAATGATTGACAGTTTCATTCTCATTAATCTTTTTGTAAATAAAGAAGAATGACTTTCAGGATAAAATTACAATAATGATTCATCATGAAATACTTACTTGGATTTCTTCAGTTCTCATCCCATCCAATAGATATCTAAGCAACTCTTGGCTGTCCTGCTGCTGATACCCTTTGAATCGTGTTGCTCTATTGTGAAATATGCAGATACAGATTAAGGAAAGTGCAATGCTTTCTGTATTAACTATTATACAAAAGGAAAAAAATGATACAGAAAAATCACACATGAACTTAACATTTCCAAAGAGCAGGGGCAGGGTTATAAGATGTTATAAGCACAAATATTGTTCTTATATGAAACAGCTTATTTCATTGTACTATTCCTGATATAATCTGACATTCAGAAAAATAGTGTTTAAAGATATTCACAGTATAATTTGATGCATATCTTTCTAAAATGCTGCATTAATTCCTTATTAAATGCATACAATACAGAAGCCTTTATATATTTACAAGTAAATTGTCATCTTGAAATTGTCTGAAAAAGGTTATATAGCAACTGATAATTCCACTTTAATATTTAGCTGATCAGTGAAAAAAGTTATAACAATTTAAATAAATTAGCATATTATAAAAATAATATAATTGTCACTGAGACTTTGAGTGTAATGTAAGCTATAATAAATAAATTCTACATACAGATATCTCTCTAAAATATACATGCTGGCTTAGTATGTAATACTGCACTCTTTCAAAATTTAAAGTCCCAGTCCATTCTTATGACTGGGTAAGAAGTTGATGTTGAATTAGATTCATACATTGCTTTAAGCCAATTGTAAAAAAAATGAAATAAAATAAAACAATCTGCTAGCTTCTTTGATCATATCTAAATCTTTCTCTCTACTTTAGATATGCTCTAATGAATGATAAATATATTGATAAATATACAGATAATAAAAATGCAAATACTAGTTTTGTATTCTGATGGATTTAAAATTAAATAGATCCAAAATTACACAAAATGTATCTGCTTAAACAGTACTTTTATAATTTTATAAATAAAATACTCACTTTTTACAAATCTGAGAGAAAAGTTCTCTAGGGATCACAGATCCTTTTTTTGTCTCCTGCATTTCTGCCAAAAACTGGCACATTGCTAGAGTTAGAGGTCTTGGAGGATCAAGCATGACTTCCAAAGGTTCCTAAAGACCATATAAAGAAACTCCTATAAATACATGCATATTTTATGCATTCATTTGTGCTGCTTTTGTTTGGGGTTTATGTTTTTATATTTAGGGTTTGGTATTATCCGCATGCTGATGATATCTAGTTATATCTTTTGACCTTGGTCTAGTCAACTAAGGCTGTCAAGTTTGGCTGCGCGAATTTGGACAGGGAATAACTGTCTCCAACTGAGTCCTAACAAGACTGGGTGGATCTGGGTATTTGGGTCACCCAGATCTGGGAATATTCCACCCTTGATGTTGGATGGGGTAGCACTTCTGTCTTCAAACTTGGTATGCAATCTGGGTTTTTTTCCTGGACTTGCAGAGCAGGTAGCAACTGTGGACAGGAAGGACTTTGCACAACAGTTTCTTGTTTCCAAAATCAGAGACTCTTCAAACATGACTCATGTCCCGGTCATCTCTTAGCTTGACTACTTCAACATGCTCAAAATGAGATTGTCCTTGATCCCCACCCACAAGCTTCAACTGGTCTAGAATAGTGTGAGCAATAATGGACATGCCTTGGTATGCCCATATAACATCTCTACTTTGTGAGCTGCAGACCTTGTCAGTTGCTTCTGGGTACGATTCAAAATGCTAGCTGTTATCCATAAACATTGTACATGGTATAGGGCCGGTTACTTGAGAGATTCCTGTCTCCCATAGTATCTGCTTGGCTATTTCAATATTGCAGCATTGACGTACTTGAGCTTCCTTTTATTAAACAATATCATCTATTGATATCCTGGAATGGCACCTTCTCTGTAGCAGCTCTCATTCCAGATGCCCCCCTCCCCCACTACAGTTCAGAAGACCAGTAAAGACCTGGCTTTTAACCTAGGCCTTTGGTGAGGGGGGGTGAGAACGCTTGCTTCATTCCATCTGATGTGTCCACCTGATATCTTTTACTAATTTTGTTGTAATTCCTTTGACTGTTGTGAGCCTTCCCAAAGTTATTGGGAATTGTGTGGATATAAGTTTGATAGATCATTATTGTTTCTTCTGATGCGAGCTGAAAAAGCCAGACAATTGATTCTCTGAAGCAAAAGATGCATATATTTTTGTAGGAATAATGGGCTGAACTTCAAAAAGTACTGAGACAAAGTTCAAGCTCTCTCCTCATTTACATTGGAGTCTCTTCATGATCATCAAATATTTTAATGTTTAAGTTAACTCAGTTTACTGTTACTTTCTGGCACAATTTAAAATACCGTACTGTCTTGACATTACAACTTTGTGTCAAAAAAAATAAAATAAAAAAATATGCAGTTACATGTGTTACAGCCCTGTTACCATTTCTCTTCCCACCACTAAGAACTTAATGTTTTTGAAAAGCAAAGAGATAAATTATAGTTAACTTTGCCTAAAAAGGAAAAGCCAGATTCAAACTTCAAAAAGCCAACTTCAGGGCCCTTTCTCTGAGGCATAATAAAAAGACCCTGTTATCCAACATTTTTAGTCTCTCCTCAGCCATTTCAAAGAATGAGTGAGAGGCATAAGTCTTTGTTCACATAAACAATGCAATTTAGTACTGCACTTCCGTAAGATCAAAGAATTAATGCCCTGATTATTTTCTGTCTTCAGAAACTATCTATGAAATAACAGCAACATTTGCTTAGTGAATTTAAATCTATCCATAATTAGTTTTAATACATTCCAAACAGCCACTTTCATACCGTTATTGAGAATTCTGGTGGCTCAAGTGTAATTGTTGAATCAGGCATTTTTACTTCTTTCAGCAACTCTCTCAAAACTGATGTTTGTGATAGATTCTATGGGGAAAAAAGTGAATTGTTTACAAATTTAAAAACTCAAAAGATATATATCTTTTATTTAGGTTCAGAAGGCTATACACTATAATTTATTATATAAATTTAACAAAATTTGCTGTAAAAATGCCTTGCTCACCATAGTTTTTCCACATTGCTTTTACAAATGATTCTGCATATAGTCCTTGACTTATGACTTTCAAAGGTTGCTTTATGACTATTGAAAATTATAGCGGCCACGGAATGGGTGCTTTATGGTAAATATCATAAATACCCGTATTTATCGGCGTATAACACGCACGGGCGTATAACACGCACCTTCATTTTAAGAGGGAAATTTCAGGAAAAAAACTTAAATTTCAAATGAAGAACTTTGAAGCAAAATAAGGGTAGCTCAGAACTTTTTTTTATTAATATTATTACCACTTCTTAACATTATATCGGCGTATAATACGCACACATCATTTGCCCCCTATTTTCAGGGGGAAAAAGTGCGTGTTATACGCCGATAAATACGGTATCCTAAACGCAGGCTGACTGGGTCAGCTTTATGACAAGTCAGAGTGTTCTGTGGACACATGACCACAATTTTCCATGTTTTTTGCTGGCTTCTGGCAAAAAACCCCCACTCATTGAAATGAATGGGATGGCTTAATGTCCATGGTGTTCACTTAATGATCCTGGCAAAAAGATCGGAAAATTAATTTCGGACCTAGAGGTGCCTTAACTCACAATCATAAAAACCAGATTTTAATGTAATTTAATTTAATGTTCCTGTAGCAGCATTTAAACAAAGACTGGAAAAAAACTTTGTAACAAGAGTTAATTAGACATACAAATTAGTAGGTTTTATATATAAAATGAAATACACATTCAGAATAGAATTAAATGAAAGATGACCCAGTAAAAATTACATCTTGTTTCTCAAAACATTTATAAATTTATGAACACCCACTATTCTAACACACACAAATAAAGCTCTCCTAAGTGCTGCTGATAAAAGGGCTTCCAAAATTAAAATGGAAAAGAATCTGGAATGTAATTTTACAAGATAAGGATTTCTACATTAAAATTAACAAAAAAACAAAGCTAGTAAGTAGCAATATTTCATTTTTTCCCCAATACAATCGTAAGGTATGACGCAATAAAGTTCTGAGAATGATTAATTTATATCATACCTGCAAAACCGCATTAAAAAAACATGTATTTCCTAGGTTGCTAAGACCTTTCACCGTCATTTCTGAATTGCCATTTAATTGGTTTTTATTATCTTTGAACAAGTTTTCCTTCTTCTCCTTCTCTTCCTCATTTTTGTGGTCTTTAAGTTTTTTGTTTTCCAAAGGTTTGTTTTCTTCATTTTTAGAAGCTAAAAAATATTTTTTTAAAAAATACAATAAATCAAAATGAAAATTGTTTAGCATTTCAAGGATAAAGTAGAGCAATTGCAAAAACAATTTTTATTTAAAGCAAAAACAAGTACTATAAAACATATAATTTCAAATAGTTACCCCTCAAACAATTAATTTAAAATAGACTAGATCAGGACTTTTCAACCTTTTCACAGATTGTACTACTTTTAGGACATGACAATATTTGAGTACCACCAGTGCTTAGCAAGGTGTCAAAAACTTGATGACTAAAAAAAAGGGGGGGGATTTTGGGTTTTACTGATTAGATTCATTTGTTGTTATAGAAATGGCTAGTTTATAATATTATGGAAAAGTAAAAAGTTGAGGTTCAATGTTAATGCTTCCTTCTACTGCAACAAAGGAAGTATGTTCTTTTTCCCTTCTCCCCCTCACTTTCCCCCCCTTTTTCCTCCCTACTGTGTCCTACTATTTGCTTTTGTATTTTTATATTTTATTCTATAATCTAAAATAATATTACAAACTGTAGAAAAAAAGAACAAAAGTACCAGTTTTAAGTTCTTCGGTGCCTGTTCCTTTACTGAATCACTTTCCCTTTGCACTGACAAATGTATGATGAATTTATCCATGTTTATTAATATGAACCACTACCAGCTAATCCAGAGGTCTTCAAACTTGGCACTTTTAAGACTTGTGGACTTTAACTCCCAGAATTCCTCAGCCCTCATGGCTGGTTGAGGAATTCTGGGAGTTGAAGTCCACAGGTCTTCCTCCTGAGCTAGCTGGTTGGCCCTTCTGAGCTCTTCCACAGTGTAGTAAGAATGCACCCCCCCAATCCCTTCCCTGTACCCTTAAAGACACAGGAATCAAGTGCAAAGCAAGAAAATAAAGAAACACAAACTCCATTTTTTTTCTCTTTAAGCTGCCTCAGGCGTGTCACGTGTCACAATGTTGCAATTCTAGACTGAAAGGCTCCGGCGATTGCGAAAAGCTTTAGCTTTAAATTAAGCCAGTTTACCTTCAAAGAAAACTTTCTAAAAGCCACAGACAGACTCAATTAAATGGGGTAAAACTAATTACATTTGTTTAAAGGGATTAAACCTTTCCTGTTGTCTTTTTTCCCCTTCCCCCCACCCAAACCATGTTCTTTTATAGCCTCTCCTCTCTCTCCCCCCTTTTTCTTCAGTTCACCTCCAGCTCCGAGCCAATCAGCTGGAGCCCTGCCGGCTTCTGCCAAGCCAAGACAGTCCAAGACAGTCCTGCAGCTGCAGCTGCCTCTCCCTCAGGCTTGGCTCACTTAGGCTCATTCCCCTCCCCTGCTACACTTGCCTAGCAATTGCGTACCACCTGCCATGTGGCAAAGTACCACAAGTGGTACGCGTACCACCGGTTGACAAGCCCTGGACTAGATGGTTGGATTCATAGAGAGCTAATCAAAGCTGATACATTTACCTTTCAGCCTGAAACCTTATAGCTAACACAGAAAAAATAGGATCTTTAAATAAGTCCATCAAGTTTCAGTTGGCAGTACCATCCTAAGACATTGTAGTCATTTTAAAATCTTTAAAAAGTCTTTAGTATATTAATACTGTATACATTTATACTACAGATTTTGCCCTATAGCATTATGAATAAGCGATCGTAAAGAAGGACATTTCCTGTAAAAACAATCTGACATCCCAATGATGCAATTTAAAAAGAAAACATGTCAAACACTTATAGCCTGTCCCATTGTTTTAAAAATCTGGATCAGAGAATGAAATGTGAAAGGATAGATAGATGATAGATAGATAGATAGATTGATAGATAGATAGATAGATAGATAGATAGATAGATAGATAACCTTTATTGTCATTTTTTAACTGTGGGCACAACGGCACACATCAAAAATGAAATTTAGTTGCCCGCTCTCAAAGTGAAATACATACATGACATACACCTAAACATACTATGTATAACATATGTATAGACCCACACCCCTACATATACATAACAAATAAATATTAAATACTGTCCATCTTGAATATATAACGGAAGGAGGAAGCTTGAGAATTCACAAGGTTAATGAGAATTGTAGTATCTACAATAATTGTTTATTTGTCAAATTTATATGGTTGCGTATCTCACACAAAGTGACTATGGATGGTGTAGAATAAAACCAGCAATTGAAACATTCTACAAAACATAAACATAGATAAAACAAGACCATGAGAGGAGAAATAATAATATAAGCCAATATTACAAGAGAGCCAATTTGGTGTGGTGATATAGGTACAAGCCCAGAAACTGGAGGATTGCGAGTTCTAATTTCTAAGTTCTTCTTGCTTTTGGCAAGAAGCTATTTGGATGAATTGGAGCCAGTCACTCCTACTCAGCCCCAAGAAAGGAAGCAATGCCAAACTGCTTCCAAAATCTTGCCAAGAAAACTGCAGACTAGTCCAGGCAATTGCTTGGAGTCAACACTGTTTCAAAGGCACCAAAAACAAAACAAAATAAAACCAAATTTGTTTTGAGTCAATAAATATAATTTATGAAGGCAAAAAATGTATGGGGCTTTCAAATGTAGAATATGTAGAATAAAGCATTTTAGTACTTACAGTTCAATTTCAACCTAAAGTAGTTGCTACAAATTTAAATGCAAGTATCAGTTTGAATTTTTACTAATTTCTTTCCCTCCAGTCACTGAAGACCACAGTATTCTTGATTCACTCTAACATCCAAGTGAAAAATAGTTACATTTTTCAAATCAGCTGGTTACAATGCATTAAAATTTTCAGTACTCCCAATATCACTTATTGTAAATGAATGATTATGTCGTATCAAGTTTGTATTGATTCTTGATGATGACATAGTTTCTCTTGAGAATAATGCAACAAGTATACCTTAAAAGGAACTGACCTGTATTTGGAATGTTCACACAAGTTTGTTTTCTAATAAAATCCACAAGCTGGCCCAGTCGAGTAGACGAATTATACTGTATTTCATCATCACACAAATAGCACCTAGTTTGATTAAAGAGTCCAGACATGCACAATAATTTGGTTTACATTAAACTAGAACAGTATGTAGTGGAACATAATTCACACATTTTTGAAATACAAATATATTAAACAATACTTTAACAGTCCTTAGAAAAATTCTTCATTCCAGTTTGTGTTATACATTTACCATTAATCTAGAGCAGTGGTGGCAAACCTATGGCATGTGTTCCAGAGGCGTCATTCAGAGCCCTCTCTGTGGGCACGTGTGCCGTCGCCCCAGCCCTGCCTCCCCCCGCAGCCCCCTCCTCCCCAGCAGTCCCCCCAGAGGAGAGTCGCCCCTGAGCATGGCCCGTGTGGAGCAGTGCAGCCAAGGAATGGCAGCCGGGCAGCGGGGCCAAGACTCCGCCCTCACGCTCCGTCGCATGCAGTTGATGCTGCGGGGTGCAGGCAGAGGGCGTGGATGCCATGGCGCTGCTGGGCCGCCTGGGCAATCTGCAGCGGGCTGTGGAGGTGGTAGGTGGCCCTGCGGACAGGGCGGGGGGCAGGGCAGGGGTGGTTTTGGGGCACTCGATCTCTAAAAGGTTCGCCATCACTGATCTAGAGGTTAAGGCATCAGGCTAGAAAGCAAGAAACTGTGAGTGGACATGTTTGCTTCCTTGAGTTATTTGCAAAAATAGTAAACGTGGGGTACAAATAAATAATAAAAATAAAATTTGATAAACTTACCAAACAGACCAGTTTTCCACATTAAGAACCAAACAGTGAAGTTCTGATCTTGGCGTTTCATAGTGTTTTAAGGCATGCTGCTCTTGACAATTTCTGCCACAACCCTGTAATATAATATCACAAGTATGGGACTTTAGCAATCACATACAATGTAAAGTATTTGTTAAGGTGAAACAAAAATATTTTTAGTTTACAGTTAAAAATGACAATTGAAGTGCATAGTTATTATTTACATGCAGTTCTTGACAGGTTCAAAATTAATTAATTAAAAGCCTGTATGACAAGTTTGGACATATTAATATGTCCTATAAAGAGATTGATTTGTTAGACCTGCTATTAGCTGGATGAGGACAATTCCACAATAACTTGTGATTGCGATTCTATCAACATTCTCCAAGCAGTTGCTTGAGCATTTGAAAATGCCTCTAGAACATCTTGCTCCCCAGTGTGAGGTTGGCCCCAACCCTCCTGACTTTCTGTAAGAGCCTAAAGACCTGGCTCTGCCAGCTACCTTGTGGCTCCAATGGGGGAACAACACAGCGGAGGTGGTTGATTGACTAACAACCGATCCCACCTTCCCCACAGCCGAACTTCTCTCCCCATCTTTAATTGGATCACAATGTTTGGCTTGTTTTAATTTATTTATGGTTTGTGTATGTGTGTGTGATTGTAAGTTGCCTAGAGTTATCCTGTGGTAAGATGGGTCGCCTGTAAATTTCATAAATAAATAAATGGCAATTCACTCTTACAACGTAGAGAAAGGATGCACTCTCACAACAAAATTTTTAAGCTAGCAATTTCAACAGTAAGAAATGGACGTTACGGGGAACTACTGAATTTGAAGCAACAAGATCTGGAAGGCCATGAACAATCTCTGTTAGAACTTCCCAAAATGTAAGTGTTGCAAACAGAAGCTAAGATTATTACTGAAAAGTACAAGTTAGATATTTTAGTAAGATGGTAATTTTATTAAATAATTCCAAATCAACCATGAAATACTTACAAGAAATATATTTTAAAAAAGGGGAGGGGGTTCTAGAATGGCCATCAAAATCCGCCAACTTGAAAATGATTGACCATCGGGGGGATACTCATACATGCAGTGTCAAAAGAAAGCCTAATATATCTGAGATAGAAAAGTTCTGCAAGGAGCTGTGTAAACAAAATTATAAGCGAAGGACATTTGGACAGCTATGGGAAACATTCAGAAATAATTGTATCTGCCTTAAGAGGTGTCATAAAGTACTGACTGAAAGAGTGTTCAAAATTATGCATCTGTTCATTTACTGTTTTCTTGTTTTGAAGCTGGAAACAATTGTGCATTCAAATTTATAGAAAAAAGCTATGCTTAAACCCCTGCTCTATCATGTAGAGCAGGGGTTCTCAACCTTGGCAACTTTAAGCAAAGCTGGCTGAGGAATTCTGGGAGTTGAAGTCCACAAGTCTTAAAGTTGCCAAGGTTGAGAACCCCTGATGTAGAGGATGTCTTGTGATGCTGGGATGAGATTGTGTGCCACAAAAAGATTTGGTTCTATTATTTTCCTCAGCAAGAATAAATTTAAAACATCTGCAATATATTTTCCTTAGTAATAGTAACTGGGACATACCCTGTGGCCACATTTTAAACATAACCATATTGTTGGTTTGTCTTCTGCCCTCTTATCAGATTTTTCATCTGTCTTATTGTCATCTATCTGGCAATCCTGGCAGGAATTCAAGTCCACAGCCTGCAACGCTTTTTTCAGAAGACCTTGTTCCAATCCTTTGCGAAGGTGCTTGCATGTTGGTCCTATGAGAAATTTTACATAGAATAAGAATCAACATTAAAGGGGCTTTAAATATATATTATTTAGAGTCCATAAGATATGGCCAAAGGTCAGCTGGCTGTCAGTAATAAGTTTCTAAGAAACTGACTGCCCTACACACACAGAGGGAGGGAGGGAGGGAGGGGGGGGGAGAGAGAGAGAGAGAGAGAGAAGAATAACCAATCCCCTTCAGAAATCTGCTCCATTCATTGTGATGTGTTTGTCAATGGCTCTTAGCTACAGTACTTATCTGAAAAGTAGCTCCTGGATATTGCTGTCTCTAGGCCATTGTATTTTAATTTGATGCTAATTACCTGAAAACTAGATTACCGAAACATATGGGCTTATGCCTTAAATATGGACTTAGATAAACATGTTTACCCATAAATATTGTTTCACTCTATGGAAGTTGAATCTTAATTGGATAAACATCTTCAAGGTCACATTAAGCATTTTGCTAAGGAGTAAAATCTTACTGTTCTCCATAGCAGTGCAACTTAAACAAATTATCTGTATATGTTATGCATACCCAGAACATCTGGTGAGACATCTGCAGGAATATTTTTTCCTTTTGTGCGCTTCTTTCCCATTATAGCAACATAGGCTTTAATTTCACATCAAACTATAAAAGAAAACAGATTATTTGCCAATAAAAAAATAAAACCTGTAAATAGCAATGAATGTATTGTATTATATACATGAAAGGAGGAAATTTACATTTCTGCTTCCTTTCTATTGTGTTTATTAAGGGAACTAAGCATTTTACATATATCTATACAAAGCAAATTGTGACAAACTGCTTTGGAAAATATTCTATTATTTCAATACAGATTCATGGATGTCTCCATAGTAGCTTTTAAATACTAATCTTTGTGATTAAGCAAAGTGAATTTTAAATTCAGCAATAGCAGTTTAAAATATAATTTTGTGTATATTGAATGGGATCAAGCCACAGTCTCAACATATTTAATTCAGAGCTAAAGATTGTTTAACACTGAGAAAATTAATAAATCTTATCAATGTATCAAGGGATACACAAATACATTTTCAAATGTAATTGTACTTCCATAGGGAGTATTCAAGGACAATAACTCCACCCTGTCCTACTTATGGAATTGTTTTATGAATTTCTTTTTTTCCAGGGAAATTCTTTAATTGAATCTGTTCTTTATTCACCTTTCTTTAACAATCATGTTTTCATAATAACAATCATGTGTAACAGCCTAGAGAATATAATAGCAGTTTCTTTTACTAAAATGAATTTTAGTTTCGTTTCTGATTAATATCAAGATATGAGCCAAAAGCATTTGACTTAAAAGTGAAACCATAAAATTAAACACAGCAGTTTTGACATCTCTGTACATACTTTATTTTCCTTATGCTTGCAAAATGGAAAGGTTAAAAAGCAAAAACAACCAAAACCCATTCTTCTTAAACGGGGGCAATAGCTCCTTAAATGGGTTAATTTTCTGCGCTTTCAAGAGCAACCTGGCATATTCAATTAATTTCTACATGCCAGGAAAAAGCTAGCATATTTGCCCGTTGAGCAATAATTACAAAAGGGCAAGACGAAAATAGGCAATCAGTTTCTAATACTTTAAAGGGCACGTCCAACCAACCTCTCACTTCTTGGACTAACATGCATATTTACTGAACTGCGGCACTTTCAAATATAATGTCCAGCCTTTTCCAATTTCCTGGCGGACGTGGGAGTTAGTTGGCAACTTTTCTTTTTCTCAGCCTACACCTGCCGAGAGGACTAACGCCTCAGACAAAGGAGACGGAGAAACAGCTGGAAATGCCAAATGCCAGCACAAACTCTGGCAGGGAAACACGAACGGCCCAGAAACGCTGCGGGCGGGCGCCTTCAGCTCTTTCTGCCCGCCCGCGCCGCCGCATTGTCCCAGGTGAAGCAATCCAGCCGGCCTTTCGATTGGCCACTTCAACTTTTTCGCAGCCCGCCTATTCGGCCCTTACTGACAACAGCCGAAACCAATAGTGAAGCATTTCTTACCTTCGAAGGATTGGAGACAGAAGTTCCAAGGGGCCGCTGAGAAAAAGTTCCACGCAGCGAGCTGGAAAAAAAAATCTGCTGTCACCGCGCGTGGGAAAGAAACCTCCCGAATTTAAATATTTTACGACACATGCCTGCGACGCCAGAGGAGATTTACGACTCTCGGGCAATCCTGTTCAATTAGTGACATAGAGCGCTTGTTCCGGAGAGGCTCTTTTACTCAGCAGAAACTTCCGGTCCATTTGGCTGTTGGGTAAGAAATGTCTACGAAAACGTAAGGCGAGGCGGCGGGGGCGGAAGTCTGTCGTCTACGGAGAGTCGTCGCTCTATACGCAGGGGTAGTCAACCTTGGCTCTTTTATAACTCGTGGACTTCAACTCCCAGAATTCCTGAGCCAGCTGTCTGGCCCAGGAATTCTGGGAGTTGAAGTCCACGAGTCATAAAAGAGCCAAGGTTGACTACCCCTGTTCAATAGCTCATGACGCGCGCGTAGCAAAAATGGGAACAACGCAACCAGAAGCAGGATTTTAGCGCAGTGGCTTGCGATTGAGCTGTGGTGTGTGGTGTTCTTCATTTTTCAGTAGCAGCAAAATAGGCTGCCCCATCCCCGTCTTTTAATATAACGAAGGAAATCTGAAACCGGATTAGTCACATTTCATTTAAACTGGGATTGCTGTATTTTAGAAAAGAAGTGTGCCCCCCACACAAACTACAGACACAATGGTTGGCAAGCAATTTTTGTGTTACATTTGGGCTCTGAAGGTAGAAGTTGATGGGTTTTATGTAGGAATTTGGCTGGCAATCCAAATCGGGCTGATTCTCATTCCAGCTGTCGGTATTAACAATTACTATATTACAGAGCTTCATCGTCAGCCTTACTATACTGTATTTAGGAAGCAAGCTCTGAATTGACTTTGGCAGGATGTTTTCATCATTTAATATGTTTTATGTTTGTTAATATGTAAAATAATTTTAAAAAGATTTAAACGTTAATTTGTAAAAATATCTTCACGTGAATTAAGTATTAAGAAAAAGAAAAGTTAATATCTATGGTATTACAGTACTCTTACTGCTTGCTTGATCAACTTACATACTGAATCACAGTTCTGCTGTGCTTCTCTGTTGGCATAGGAAAGGGAAAATATATTTTGACCAAGTTGTTTCCAATATTGTGATTTCGCATTTTATCTGTGACCAGTTCTAAAGAGAGAAAGTCCAACCATCGGGAGAGCATGTGTTCATATTTGGTAATATTTGTTTATATCAGTGTTTCTCAGCCTTGGCAACTTTAAGGCATGTGGACTTCAACTCCCAGAATTCCACAGCCAGCAATGCTGGCTGTGGAATTCTGGGAGTTGAAGTCCACATGCCTTAAAGTTGTCAAGGTTGAGAAACACTGGTTTATATCAATCATTCTTCACATTTTTCTTCCTCCACTATTAGGGGTAGTATGAAAACAGGTCAACTTTCAAAGCATACTTAAGTATTTATGAGTAGTGAACAATGTGTAATATCTCATTCATGTATTCTAAGCAGTAATTGAACCCCAGAATGAGATTGTACATCCTGATCTGGAACTTAAAATGGTAAAAACAAATGGATTTGCTTCTACATACACAGCACACATAACAATAGTTCTATTTCCTTTTGGGAAAAACAATTTTATTTTATTAAACATTACAACATTAAGTTGTTAAAACAGTAAGCTAAAGAAATTAAGACAAAAGATAAACAGAAAACAGCAATAAAGTAACAGTTCAGTAGTTCAACACTATTCACTATACCTCTGTTTACCTTTATAGTAGAACACTACATAATTTTTCCCCAAAATTATTCCTGGTTACTCTATTATCACAATTCCCTAGAGTGAATGTGCAATTGTTTGGTGTAATAGTTAAGGCACCAGGCAAGAAACCATGACACTGTGAGTTCTAGTCTCACTTTAGGCATGAAAACCAGCTGGGTGACTTTGGGCCAGTCACTCTTTGTCAGCGCAACCTACCACCCAGAATTATTGTTGGAAAAATAGGAGGAAGGAGTGTGAGTTATATTCACTGCCTTGAATTATTTCTAAAAATAACAAAGGGGGATAAAACAAACACAAATTATAATTTTTAAATATTTACAATATTCATTCACCATATAATGATATCAGCTATTGTTTTGGGCATAAATTCTAGCCCTTTCATGTATAATTAATCCTATTTCCTTACTTCTTTGCAGTCAATTCTCCACAACAATATCAGGACTTCTGTAATGTTCTTGTCTACTGTTTTCACAGATGTATAGCATATCCATTTTTTCTTTCTATTTATTAATTAATATTCTTGACTATTTACTTTTCCTAGGTCTCCATCTTTAATATTGCCAGCTTCTCATCAGGTGACCTGAGAGATATTGCCTTCTGTTACCCATCATGGTTTTGGTCAATTAGGGCTTCAGCATAATGTTTTTCAATAAGAAAGAGAAAATGTAGATTTGGTTACCAACCTTAGTTGTATCTGTGCTACACATAGCATTCCCTGCTAATGTTAAGGACAATAGGGATAGCACTTAGACTTATATACCGCTTCACAGTGCTTTACAGTCCTCTCTAAGCAGTTTACAGAGTCAGCATATTGCCCCCAACAATCTGAGTCCTCATTTTACTGGCCTCGGAAGGATGGAAGGCTGAGTCAACCTTGAGCTGGTGAGACGAACTGCTGCCAGCCGGCAGTCAGCAGAGGTAGCCTGCAGTACTGCATTCTAACCACTGTGCTACCATGGCTCTTATGCTCATTAGTTTAATACATTTTGGGCAGAATGACCCAAATATAGGAAAAGCCCAAACAAGCAGGCTCACTATTCTTTGCAAGATGGGAACCCTAATCTAGAGGCTATCTTGAAAACCAACATACTGTTGCTCTCCACCAGTTACATGTACAATTGCATGTTCAGAAGTTGTTTTATACAATGAATTACATTCCGCCATTGCAGAAATAGGAAAGCTAAATGTTCATTATTAAGAATACTCTAATCTTCAAAATAATTGTTTGCTGATAGATTGTGGCATTATCTTGAAGCTATATAATTAATTATAGTATACCATTTAGGAACTGAAGATGTTTGACTCCTTAGTTTTTAAGAATTTAAAAGTGTACCCAATAATATTTTCTCAATTTCTTTATAGGAATTACATTAATAAACCAAAAATGAGCAATTTGGAAGAAGCTGAACTACAACTTTCTGAATTAGATTTACTTTCTAGTATGTTTCCTAATGAAGGTGATTTTAAGGTGACTGATCATTTGGCTTTAGCAGAACTGAAAGATTATGTTGGAAAATGTACTTTAGAAGTGCCATCTTCGAAAATACAATTCGTCTTATATTTAGATGTAGAAACTCCTGGTGAAAATAAGGTAATGCACCCTTGTGTAAAAAAAAAATTCACAAATTGATTGCTAGTAGAATTTTAACTTTAAAAAACTTCTTTCTAGGTACCACTTTCTTTGTGCTGTGCTTTCCCATTAAAATATCCAACTATTCTTCCAGAAATCACTATAAGGTACATTTTAATACATACAGGATAAGTAGGCTGAAAGATGAAATGCAGTATAATTTTGATAGGATGCTATAATTCTCATATTGGTAAATAGAGTGATCTTAGTTACATAATAAAATGTCAAGAAGAGAAATATACTGATAAGTTCATATAATTTGAATAGTATGATATAAATCTAATGGATTTTCTGGAATTGTAATTCTTAATACTAACCATGAAATTCATATATTTAATTAATTTGGTTTTATTAGTAAATATATATGACTTGGATCCTTGCAATCTTCAGGACCATTTTCTTCAGCATACATTACATTATCTATTCAGGAAAGAATAGATAATTGGGAACTCACCCTCAGTGCTTATCCACTGAAGTTAGGTTGGTTCCCATCTTTTTATCCTTTGAGCGACAGTTGAAGATAGTGCTTTTGCATAAGGCTTTAGGGGTATATTTGAAAGATAACATCATTTTTAAAAAGAGTTTAATATTCATTCTTTAAATGTTAACCTATATAGCAGTGGTTCTCAACCTTTTTAATGCTGCGACCCCCAACCGGTCGTAAGTCGAGGACTAAACCGGTCGTAAGCCGAGGACTAAACCGGTTGTAAGTCGAGGACTACCCAGCCGGTCGTAAGTCGAGGACTTTCCCTGCCCGGGAGCGCTGCGCATGCGTGGTTCCGCCCCCTGCGCTGGCCGAGGCGTAGCTGGCAAGCGGCAGAGATGGAGCAGGCCGACCACCAGCTGGCCCAGCTCAAGGGAGGTAAGGCACCCGCCGGAAAAGGGGGAAAAAATGGCAGACAGCCTTGCTTGGCGACCCCCGTGAAATGGTCGATCGACCCCAAATGGGGTCGCGACCCATAGGTTGAGAACCGCTGCTATATAGAGCTGCTCAAGTAAGCAACATAGAAATAATTGTAAATAAATATTGGTATATTACTGAGATACCGGAATGCAAAAGATGGCAAAAACCATACAACAGTTGAACAGTTGAACAAAAAGCAGGTATATTATTATTATTATTACTGTGGTATATATGTTATATGTTATACCAGAGTTGCCTTATCAGTGAGAGGGGCAGCATATAAGTTAAAAAAACAAATATTATGAGATACACCCCAGTTGTATCTTGACCTATTTTGGACCTTTCTGAACTGAGCCATATTTTCACTATGGCTTTTGACTAGTCATTTTATATATTTCTTCCTGTTGTCTGAAGTATGGTGAAATATAGTTAAGTTTTTGCATGCATTTGAGTTTCAGTTGGCAAAGTGCCTTTTAACTAGAGGGCATCTGTGAGCAATTAGATAATTCTTTACTCTTTTTGGACATAACATCTTTTGCTGCATTTGTTACGATTAAATGAATACTTTTGATCTACATCCAACCTGTTAACTTTCAACATAAAAACAGTTAAGTATAATTGAGAATCAAGTCTTGCTTTATATAAAAACAGTTTTTTTAAAATTTTACTTTATACTCGAAATGATGCCCTTTTTTTTAGATCTCCACTATTAAGTCGATCACAGCAAGTTCAGATGAATGCAGATCTCATTACTTACTTGAAGAAACATTGTGCTGGTGATGTTTGCATATTAAATGCAAGAGAATGGGTTAAAGACCATGCTGCCATGTATATCAACAAAGGACCCTTGCCATCTACTGTTGAGAAATCAGATATTCAGAAATCAGAATGTATTCTCACTAGACTCTGGATTTACAGTCATCATATTTATAACAAACAGAAGAGAAAAAGTATAATTGAATGGTCTAAGGAACTCTCTCTTTCTGGATTCAGCATGCCTGGAAAACCAGGCATCATTTGCGTAGAAGGTCCACAAAAGATGTGTGAAGAATTTTGGGCAAGGTAATAGTTCCTTGTTCTCTAAGTAACAAAGGCATGGGTTTTTATTTTGGGTTGATTGACTCAGAAACAATATCTTATATTCATTTGCATTGGAGAGAAGATTCTGTTTAGGAGGGTGAAACATTTCCTTACCAAGATAAGAAATTGGATTGGAAAGATTTTTTTCTGTTCAAATTAATGGAGATACCGTATTTTTCCGTGTATAAGATGCTGTTTTTTCCTGCAAACACCCTGTTCAAAAATCAGGTGCATCTTATACAAGTGCAGCGTCTTATACCCGAAAAAATAATGGTAACCTCCGTAGCCCAGGGCATGCCTGTGTGGGTTTTTTACATGTCGCTGCCATGCCGCTTGGTGCAGGAGGATATCGCTGGCCTGAGATGCCGCCTGGATGGGGAGAAAGCCGGCACGAGATGCTTGAGGATCACGCTGCCCGCCCCACTGAAGCCGCCTTCTATGACCTGTTTTTCACCGGCACAGCTCGGGCTGAAGCCGCAAGAGGCCCCGGGAAGCTGCCTCAGTACAGTGATTGAGGCTGAGGGGGTGGGCGGGACTAAGCCCACAGAGTGCCATCTGATTGGAGGAAGTCGCCTCCCTTGTGTGATGGCATGGTCACTTGTTTTACTGCCACTAAAGATGTGGTTTGTTTAATATTTAAAATGTTGATTTCTGAATTTTTGTTTAGAAAATTGGGGGCCGTCTTATACAAGGGTGCGTTTTATAGATGGAAAAATACAGTATTTCCTTTTTTTAATTTATCATTCAATTTGTAAGTCGCCTAACTCAAGACAGTTATAATAATGCAGAATACAAAAGTAACAGTAAACATAACATTAATTCTAAAATTCTTGGATGCTTTTCCAAAAGCATGGATATTGGGGATTAGAAAACAATTATTAAGGAGTGCATTTCTCAGCCTGGGAGTGGAGACATGTTTCCTTGTGTAGATAAAGCTTATGACAGTGGGAACAATAGTTTCTCCTATGAATTTTTTTTATCACAGTTAACATCTATTGGTTTCAATAGGAAACCATTACTGGTAACTAACCTATACTTCCTGTGCTTCAATAATTTATAATATTCTCATTGTGTTAGGATAAGAAGATTAACATGGCAGCGAATTTTAATCCGTCACAGAGAAGACATTTCCATAGAAGGGACCGAAGCCGAAATGGAGAAGGAAAAGAAGTTTTTGACTTTTGAAGAAAAAATATTTGATGCACATGGTGCTAGAGGGAATCACATGGATTTGGGGCAATTGTATCATTTTTTAATTGACAAAAGATGTGGTGAAATATTTCAATTGTATTTTGGAGTTGAAGGACAATAAGTTAAGGTGGGAAAAGCAATAAGGATCTAAAGGATGTAGGTTTTTTTCTTTTTATTTTAATGAAAGAATAGAATTCTAAAAGTTTTTATTATTTTATACTTGAAAAATAAATCAATGGAATTGAAACTGGATGCCAGAAAATGTTATTTGCTTTGGTAATTTAAGCACAGCAAAGTTTCTGAATATATTATCAATACCTCATTACTGTTTCTACTTCAAAAATAGCAAAGTTCTGTGCTTATATTACTCAGGGATGGAAGAAATGGTTATGTACAGTATCTGACCTTTGTATTTATTATATTACCTGCTCATCATATAGGCCCCCAGTAAAATTAAGCCTTTTGCAAGTTGTATATTAAAAATATTTAGTCCTTTTATAGTATTATATGGATATATAGTTCAGTTTCTTCAGAAATGGCAAATAGTGTCACAGCATTTGATATTGATAATTTTAGTACTCGATCTAGAGAAGTCTTTAATTCCAGACCTTCAAATATATACTCATGTACATGGAATTTTTATTTTACTGTATATTGGATAATCTGGGATGCAATGGCTCAGTGGTTAGAGACGCTGAGCTTGTCAACTGAAAAGCTGACAGTCTGGAGTGCTGCTTGATGGGATGAGTTCTCATTACTTGCCCCAGTTCCTGCCAACCTAGCAGTTTGAAAGCATGCAAATGCGAGTAAATAAATAGGTACCATTTTAATGGGAAGGCAACAGTGTTCCATGATCCTCGGCGTAATAGTCATGCTGGTCACGTGATCATAGAAGTGTCTTCCAATAACACTGCCTCCCATGGCTGAGAAATAGAGATGAGCACCGCCCCCTAGAGGTGGATACTAGTGGACAGGGAAAGTGTCCAAGTACCGTACAAGGTTAATAGCAAAAAGGGGGAGTAGCACCATTAGTCGAGCACGTGAGAACTCATCTTGTGGTTAGTTAAGGCTATTGTACTGTAATTAGGCTGCTAAAATCCTGGCTAGAAATGGTAGCATAGCTTTTAAAAAAATCTAATAGTGGTCATCAGGATGTACATAAGACAGCCTTGGTTTGTGATTCAGGGTCTGGTGAGATCCAGATAAATTCAATAAGCTGTGGTTAAGTTATCCTGACAACTTGTTGAATTTAGCTTTATGGCAAAATATATAAATACATGTTTGGTGTATTAAATAAACTTGGATTTGGAATTCATAAAATTAATGAAGATATTATATATGTGCTTTACTGTACATCTGAAGTAAAGGTTAATGGAATGTTTTCTATTTTTCCACCATTTAAAGGAACCAAGCAAGGAAGTCCACTTTCACCCTTGCTTTTTAACATCTGTGTGGAACCCTTGGGTTATGGAATTGAACAACATAAGGAGATCTACAGAGTAGTACATAACTCAGTTGAACAAAAAGGGTTTTTATTTGTAGCAGGCATTCTTTATTTCTAAACCTCAGATTACTACTAACCCAGTGATGATGTAAAACATAGACCACTTTAGTAAAATAGCAGGATACTATATTAACTGGTCCAAATTGGAATTGATGCCTATTGATGAAAATTTAGTTTCCCAGCTATTTAAGGAACATCTATTCCATATTTATTTGATACTGCTAAATATCTGGGTATGTGTATATCAAAAAATATAATTCACTTAGTAGCAGGAATTCTGGGAGTTGAAGTCCACGAGTCATAAAAGAGCCAAGGTTGCCTACCCCTGGTCTAGGCCCTAGACAATATAGGAGAGTGCTATAACAAGAGTGTCAATGGAACTCAAAGTATAACTTATAAAAAAAATATCAGAATTTAATCGACAGTTACATTTACATAAAAAGGCTTATCAAAACCAATTACTCTGGAGATATAATAAGAATATTTCTCTATACAATGTTTTACCCTTAATAAGTTTTGGGAGAAAGTATTGGATTATATAATTGTGTGACAAAAACAAATATTTTTCACATAATATTCTTTTATACTACATACCTAGTACTTGGAATTTGATAACCTGATAATGTAAGTTCTCTGTGACCTTATGGCCAAAACACCCTGAGAGTTCAGCGTTGAAAAGTTAATGTATTGTCCCTTTTACTAAATGGATTGAAGACCTGATGGCACTTGCCTTTTTTTTTTTTAAAAAAAATCCTCTTTGACAATGTATTTTTATCCCTGTGGGTTTTTTTTGGGAGGGTGGGGAGGTGTTGCTTCTGTCATAGTTAAAAATATTAAATGAATAAAAAGTTATCTTAAATTAGGGTTGCCAGGTGTCCACTATTTGAGTGGACAGTCCACTTTTTTCACATTATGTTCACTATTTTTTTTCACAAAACAGTGGACATTTTTTATTCAAAAGCTTTATGATGAAATGGTACGTAATCTAAAGCTGTACAGTCTACTTTTTTTACTACTTAACACCCCCCCCCCCCCCGCTTGTCCGCTATTTTTTGGAAGCAGACCTGGCAACCCTATCTTAAATAAACCTAGGCCAAGGGTAGGCAACCTTGGCTCTTTTATGACTCGTGGACTTCAACTCCCAGAATTCCTGAGCTAGCTATGCTGGCTCAGGAATTCTGGGAGTTGAACTCCACGAGTCATAAAAGAGCCAAGGTTGCCTACCCCTGACCTAGGCATATACCAATGTTTCGGCTGCAGCTTTTTTTTTAATCTGTAAAGAATCATGATCTACCCACTTGAAGAACGCCTTTTGAGCTTTCTTATAAAAAGAGCATAAATTCTGTTATCACAACATACTGTGTGACCGCCAAATACAGTAACAGCCCCCTCCGTGTAAAACGTAATTAGTACCGATTGGTGTATAAGCGCATCATCATCTTAAAAGTGGCAATTAATTTAGAATAATTAAGAAAGCATCTAGCGAGTATAAACGCAAAAATGTTTCGGTTGGACATCTTTCAGTATCACTAGTTCGTCAACTATTCCCTCGCACGAGTTCTCTACCCCCCCCCATCCCGAACAACACGCCGTATACTCTGCATCCTTCCCTAGGCTGAGGCGTACTAAAGGGGAGGAGCCTACGGCCTTTGGCGTCCCTTCCGCCATTACCTTTACTTCCCTTTAACCCGGAAACAGCCTTTCCACCACTTCCTGTCTGTGGGACCAATTATATTCCCCGCCCTCTGTTTTCCCTTTCTTTTTTTTTCTCGCTCTCAGACGGCGTTGCGGGCGCTATCATGGGAGGCAAGAACAAGCAGCGAACTAAGGGCAACGTACGGGTAAGCGAGTTGATGTCGCTGGGAGGGAGTTCAGTATTTCTGGAGAGAGGCCAGGTCGGGTTGCCTTTTCATCGCTTTCGACCTTTAAAAGAGAGGCACGGAGGACAGCTTTGCCTACCTTTTGGCTAAATAAACAAGCAGCTTATTCCGCACTAATATCTAGACCAGGGGTAGGCAACCTTGGCTCTTTTATGACTCGTGGACTTCAACTCCCAGAATTCCTGAGCCAGCTATGCTGGCTCAGGAATTCTGGGAGTTGAAGTCCACGAGTCATAAAAGAGCCAAGGTTGCCTACCCCTGATCTAGACACTAGTTTTAAAAGTGTTGCTTTAATTGTCACTGGCAAGGGGGTAATATTTGTTAGTAGCTTCTCTAACGAGACTTCGCGGGACCTTCTTTACAACCTTCTTCCTGTAGGGCGAGTCTCCTTTTAAGGAATACAGATGTGTGCCTAAACTTTCAAGAGACGAAAAGAACCAGTAAATATTTCGGTCTCTAAAAAGCACATGCCTCGGAACTGTTTGAAATGTCAAAAAATTAGTTCAGATAACACATTATTTCCATATGGTGTTGGCTTTCTTGGTTGTGGGCGGTGTTATGTGCACATTTTTAATGCTGTAATCATTTATACTAAGGTAGAATAATGAACAATCAGTAGAAAAATGATGTGTCAGTAGTATGTGACTAACCTAATGCGCATTGCGCCTGGATACAATGTATGTAGCAAACTCTCCATTGTATACCCGTGAGAAACGAACCTAATGCATTGCAATGTGTATTTCAATGTGTATTCCTTTGTTCCTGAGAAAAGGAAAGTATAAAACTGAAGCCTGAACCCGCCCTCGGGGTTCAGAATTGCTTGTTGCTATTGCTTCTGAACCTGCGCAATAAACCTCTCTGCTAAAACCCTCTGGAATTCGTAAGAGTCCTTTCGTTTTCCACAAGAATACCCTGTTAGTTTTAAATATTTAGAGTTACATCCTTGTAGTTTGTGAATCTTGCTGTCTCTGGAATGTCTTAATATCATGTCTGAAAATTGTTAAGATAACCTTTATTGTCATTTTTTACTATGAGCACACTAGCCCATATTAAAAATGAAATTCTGTTGCCTGCTACCCATACACATACTGTACATACCACACATATATACATGCCATATATATACATGTATATATTTTTCAAAATTTGGATTGCTAACAAAGAATTAAGGGAGAACTGGAATAGCCATTTCGAACTTTTTAGTTCTTTTCAACCAGACATACCCTTCTGAGATTCGAACCTGGGCTGTCTGCATGTTAGGCAGACATACATACATAGATACATAGATACATACATACACATGCATACATACATTTAGTAGCTATCTTCTCAAAACCTGATGCACTCTTACTGATTACATGTTTTCAGCAGCAGATAACTGTGAATATATCAGGCCTACTGCTTGTTTGTTTTCTGTAAAATTACATCCTAAATATTTAAGAATGAAAACCCCGTAGCATTGTGAAGGCCATCAGAGGTTAGCAGTTCCCATCCTCTTCTATACCCCGCACCTCTAGAATGCTTCTGATATATTCTCGGACCCCTTGCAAAAAATTATGCTATATACACTATCATTTTGAAACTTCTAAACCCAAGTTCTCGCACCCCCAGTGAGTGCAAGCACCCCTGGTTGGGAACTGCTTCTGTACAATAACATTTGTTCAAATATGCTTTTGGAATTCATTCTAAGTGCAGAACTCAAGTTAAATAAAAGTGATGAAAATAGGGAAAAAGTGGTAGATGAAGATAGGAAGAAGAAATGATGGTTAGGAATTAGAATATCAATTTATAGTGTATTTAACCAA